CGGTGTCGCGCTGGACAGTCCTGTGCTGCCGGGGCCAGCGCCTCTGTCCTGCCCTCTAAATGTCAGCTGTGACCTCCATCAGAATTCTCCCCCCATTTCCAAAACTCCCCCTGGAGTGACCCCACTTCCCCGACTCCTGCGGGGAGCCAGCGGCTCTACCCAGGCCGTGTGGCCCTGCAGGGCCCTGGGAGTCCATCAGCCTGGAGAAGCAAGACTTCCGGAGGGGTGACACCCAGCTGCCTCTTGGGGCCGAGCAGAACCCCCCGAGGACTCACTCTCCTTAACAAACTGAGCGTGTTTCTGGAAGTGACGCCCAAGGTGGGCTGGGCAGGGCAGCCCTGGCTCCGCTGCTCACGGAATGCCATTCCCCTTCCTTCAAGGACGTCCTGCCTCTCTGAACTCGGGCTCACCCGGTTTCTCCCGATGGTACCAGAGGCCCCTGCCTGCTCCCGGCTAGTTTCACTTTTAGTTCAGGGGCTGGATGGCCAGCTTTTACCAGAGCAGGGCTGTGGCCTTCCTTGGAGGGCGGAGAGGGCCTGAAGGAGAGGGCTCCCGTCTCTGATCTGCTCCCCCAGCGGCCCCTCCCAGGGCCGGCACCAGTCTTTCTGGCGCGTTCCGTGCTCCCAGAGCACGAGGCGGCTCTCAGAGGCCGGGAGCCCACCGAGCCCAGGGTGTGAGGCCCTCCGGCCACGGGGAGCTCACTGCCTCACCACAGCCTCTGCTCTTGTCCGAGAGGCCGAGGCTCCGGTGCCAGCGTCTCACCAGGACCCGCTCCCCCCTCCCGCCACACCTGGAACAGGAGCTCCCAGCTCATGCCTCCTTTATACGCAGAGGCTGACACCCTTCGGAGTTTGGGCTTATGAAGCTCATGAGTGTTTTGTGTGTCTCCCCAAATAAAAAGTGTAATAGTGACTTTGTCCCTGGGGCTTTGATGGGCCCTGTCTTCGGTCAGGTGCCCTCTGGTGGGAATGGTCAGGTGCCCTCTGGTGGGAGAATTCCCGTGGAGAGGTCTCGGAGAGCAGGGGAGCCTCGCTCACACCGGCGGGGAGAGGGAGGAGGGTGGTTTCAGGGGAAGAGGAGCCTCGGCCTGGTCCCCGGAGCGGGGGGGAGTGGCTGGCATGGCC